AAAAGTAACGAGTAAAGTAAGGGATTACTTACTCGTTCTTGGGCAGTAACGCGTTACTTGTAACGCGTTACTGCCCATCTCTGGTTGCTAATGTACTGAATTTAAATGAGATCTCGTGTAACCAGCTGGCTCAAAATCTTCCATCTGAATGGGGAAAAAAAAAGGGGTCGCAACTTACAAGTGACACTTTAAAGACCGTTTCATTAAATCAATAAAAAGAAAAATTCATGCAGGATACCTTTTTCATCTGACTCTGAGTCAGAGTCATCAGAGCTCTCCTCTACATCCATCTCTTCCTCCTCCTCTTCTTCCTCTTCCTCTCCCTCCTCATGGTCACTGCCCTCCTGGACCTCCTACAGCATAAAACAAATATACCTTTTTATTTCAAAGTACTATTTAGTACACTGTATATACGAGGTTGATTATATAAATAATGGAGGAACATAATGGAGTCCGTCATACCATTTCCGTGTCCTCACTGGCCCTCTCTGTCATTTCCTTTTCTGTACCCTTTTCTTGCTCATTGTCAGGAACTTCTTCTTTGTTGACACTGAAAGATTTAAAAGACGTTGTAATCAGTTTTCCATTTGTAATGTAAGAAGAGAACTTGGAAGCTTTTTCTGCAGGAAGTGGATTGCACGTTAATCTGCTGGCAATAAAGAAACTTTCATTTTCTGGATAAAAGCAGTAGTAAGTAACATATCTGTGCATGGCATCTTTAACATCAGGGAGGTTACACTGTCTTTTTGGCAAAGAAGCTTTTTGACTGGTTTCACCACAATGCAAGGTTTAGTTTCCAATGACTCAATCTCTGCAGACACTCTCTGTGAGAAAACATAAACAAGTCTTACACAGTGAGACTTAGGTAAGACCACAGAATATATGTTGGGATTGCTCCAATTTTATAAGCTTGATTGTGCAAAAGACAGTATTTTTAAACAAAAGAAGGGAGGCATCTCATCAGGCTGGTCAAAACTGGCAAAGTAAAGAAGCATGGAAGGAAAATGCAGTACAAAAAATAAATGTTTTAACCAAATCCATGAAGCAGATCTGTTGGATAAATATTTTATCCAAACTCGGGGGGTTAGCAATGCTAAGGTAGCATTTCACACAAAAACCACCCGGGTAAAGTGATCAAAAAGAAAATAAAAGATTAATACACTGAAAAGGGGATTTTTGTCATCCAGCCTTAGATTGTTTGAAAATAGGAGATTAAAGCTTATTAAGTGGCAAAACTGTGTTTCAGGGAGGTGATGTGCTTTGACAGCAGTACGTTTCACGTCAGAGCAGGGAAATACCTGCCCAAACATATAAAATTAAAATAAAGTATGGGGAAGCATGGGAAGCAACAGGAGGGTGGAAGCTCTGACAAACCTGGCATCCTCAACCTCTTCCACCACCACCTCCTCCCTTTCCTCCCTCTCTCTCTCCTCCAACAGCAGCTGGAGTCTTCAGGGAGGGTCAAAGGGTCAAACGAGAGAAGGAAGCAAGAGATGAACAAAGGAAGAATGGAGGGAAGACTGGTCAGAGGAAGCTCTGCACTGAAAACCACACCTTTAATCCACCTTTCAGCCCCCAAAATGCCCCCGGGGCAGCTCTGAGTTAAAAAATAAAATAAAACCTGAGCCTGCGATCAATCTGCTGTGTTTGCTTGCACTGAAATTTACAGTGCAGCGACAGTACAGCACTACCAGAGAACTAACGACTGAAAACATAAAGCTGATGTGTTTATGTGTATAAATGAAGTCAAATGTTTATAAATTATTCAATAAGTTATTTGTGGTTTTTAAGTGTCCTCATTCCAATATATCCTTTGAAACAAGTCAAACTGACCTCTGGGTAAAGCAATCATGCCTTTGGAAAATTATGAATGGTTTACGATAAATAAAAATGCCATTCCAGTATGAAACTCACTCAAATATATGCACGACTGTAATAAAACATTCAACAGAGCCAATCCTCAAAATCATTTAAAAATAACAAGAACTTCACTCTGTTTACTGTCACAGTTACCTTTTCTTCTTCTTCTTTTCTCGTTTCTTCAGTTTCTCCAGATCTTTCTTAGCGAGTTCGATAATGTCAGCAGTCTCCTTCTCGGGGGCCAGAAGAGTGGAGGAAAAGGAGCTGGACCCTCCAAAGAACGACTGACGGTTGGAGGCACGGGACAGATTCTTCCTCAAATTCTCACTGACAGCCTCGCTCTCCAGGAGTTTTGCCCTGAGGACAGCATCAAGACACCGACAGATTGTAATACAGAGCCTTCACTGTGGCAAATCTCTAGATTTGGTCCCTCACAAATGAATTTCATCTGTAACATAAATGGGTATAAAGTATTAAAACAAGGCTTGTGTTTAACACTGTAGATATTCAACCCCACTGTGGTGCCCCCTAAAGAGAGCAGCCGAAATAACAATGTTCAGTCTCATTGCCAATTATGAAAGTCCACTAAAACACTTCATATTTCATGTCATATAATCAGGTTGAATCTTTTTAAACAGGTTGTTTAAAGAAGTATTTTTATCGCCATTTAAATCAATGAACAGAATGATTTTATTACAACTTTGTGCACCGTTTGTGTACTGCTGCAGTTTCAGACAACATTGCTTTCTCCTCTGAAGATACCGTGTCACCAGTGTGGCTAATTCTATTTTTTCCAGCCTACTATTTATAACATCATTACAAAATATTTCAATAAAAAGTTCCCTTCTCTCATGCTAATCTCATCTCTACCTTTTCATTTTATCTGTGTCTACTGTATTTTAGTATTTAGTCTAAATGTTTGAACTCATCCCAAGTCTGTTTTTGTTGCAGAAAAAGAAATGACGGTTTAGTTTATCCAGACTGAGATCAGAAAAAGCTCTGGAGTTCACTGAGATCCTGGGAAGGTTTCACAAGTGTTATATTGACTGGGATCAAAAGTCCAGACCAAAACACTTGAACTGTGATCTCACATGTCATCAAACATTTCAGGGTAGTGACTGTTAAAAGAATGAGGTAGTCTTAATGTTTATGAGTACAGGAGGCTAAAACATACAGGAAAAGGTAAAAAAATGAACAAGGGAATAAATCGGAATTCATTTACCGAAGGTCTTCAATCTCTTTAATGTAACTCTGAATCATGTTTCCAATTTCCTCTGTGCCTCCTTCACCTGTAAACATGATAAGAGTGATGAAGGGAAAAAAAAGGCACATCATGTATTAACTGTGACCAGAGCGGCACAATATAAAAACAAAAACAAAAACCCAACAACTCTCTGCTTAAACTAGTTCAAAAGTTTGAGATGCATACCTGCACGAGCGAGGGTCTGGTTGGCCTGGTCACTGAGCAGCTGGGTGAGTCGTGCACGCTGGGCATCGATGGTCTCCTGCATGGCCTTCACCCTCACCCTCAGGTTGCTGTTCTCTGTCTGCAGCATGGAGTTTTCGTGGAACATGTCACTCAAGCTTTCCACGCCGTCCTCACCCACCAAACGTTTACCCTGCAGGGGGGGCAAAAACAATATAGTTTGTTTTTCATAAGGCTCCTCCCTGTCCTTTAAATTCCTCCCGTCTCCTCACCGTCTTGTACTCCATGAGCTCCATCTGCAGTCGAGCTATTTCCGTCCTCAGAGCGCTGATCTGCTGGCTGGCCTTGTCTTGGTTCACCATCACCTTGTTCTTGATGTTCCGCGCTCTGTTCGCGTACTTTAATGTGTTCAAAGTTTCCATGAAGTCACGGTCAGATGGACTGATGCATGCAATCATCACTGTTTGGCTGAGAAAGAAGAAAGTGACATTTTATAAATTATTTTCACACATGATCTCCACACAGTATCAGAATTATGACACTGTGGGACACTGCACCTAGTAGTTATTTCTTACGTTAACATAAGAGATAAAATGTTTGAGATGTTCTCACTAATGGAAATTGTTTGGTGAGGTCAGAGCAGGAAATTATGCAGAAAAATCACATCTAGTGTGTGGGTATCCACACCCAGGCATCTCCCACAGTTAACACAGTTTTATATCATCTAATTAGCTGGGGTGGGTTTTTTTTTCCATTTTGACTTTTCATCTTCAATTCAATTTAGTTTTAGTTAGTTTCCATGGTGGATTATCTTGTTTTAGTTTAATTTTTATTTGTTTCAGTGTTAGTTTTTAGTGGCTTTAATCATTATTGCATGCACACATTCATCACTGACTCAGGCAAGCTCTAAGAATTTTTTTCCCAAACTAACAAACACTAAAACTAAGGATATTTTCTCTATATCTTTATTTTTATTTCCAAGTTCTCAAAATTGTTCCAGGTAGTTTCAATTCTTTTAAACAAGTCTAGCTTTTATTTTAATTGCTTCCCCCCCCCCCCCATCTAGTTTTAGTTCAGTTTTAATTAAATATAACAGCACTGGTTCTCATCATCTTATACTGTTGTTTGATGATATTCGGTTGAAATCGTTGCCGTATCAGAAACAAATCGAGACAAAATGTTTTTATGAGGAAAAAGCTCAAATCTGTGGTCCTCTGACCTGTTTCCTCCTAATGAGTCCTGCAGGAGTCGGGTGAGTTTGGAGTCTCTGTAAGGCACATGTGAGGCCCGCTTGCTCCGGTCACCCAGAGCACTGATTACATTCCCCAGGGCGAGCTGGTCAAAAAGACAGGAGACAAAGGGAGAAAGGATTTCATAGAGAGGCAACAATTTGCTATCAGTCCATTTGTAGAGTTACAGTTAACACTTTCAGCACTACTTTTTTTAGTTGCGATTTGGGTGGCCACATCCCAGAAACAGCATGTTTGTGTGGAACAATGTGGGATCCCTGGTCACTCCAACTGTGCTGACTTTGTTAAGCTGGAAATACCATTAAAAATACTTCATAATTCATTAATTTTTGATTTTAAGTATATTTGTAAAGTCTGCCACCAGATGGCAGTATATCATTAGACTTTGAAGTCTTTGCTGCCTCACAAATCCTGGTGCAAGAACAGGCAGACTCACCAGTCCACAGTTAATGGAGATGCCCTCTTTGGCTCGATCACCCGTCGCTCCAGTTCTTTTCAGCCGCTCCGAACCGGCCAAGTCCACAAAGTGAAACTTGGCCGTCAGTGTCTCATACTCGTCCATCTCAGAGTTACCGTTGGTGACTCGATTATCAGTATCATTTTCTTGCTGTGTAAAAATCATGCATGTAAATACACTCAGTGACAGCAGCATGTACACACAGATTTTTTTCCCCCCAACAATCATTGATAATAAAAAGGAGAAAAAAAGGAAAGAAATTATATTATTGATTAGATCTAACAGACATAATTTGCAGTGATTTATTGACGTACATTGTCAGAGGCACAGACGCGGACTTGGCACAGGTGGATGGTGAAGATGGCATGAGATCGGGAGCTTTGGACGTTCATCTGAGTGCTGGCTGTGGTGCGAGACAGAGCCCCCAGTTTCAGGCATTGCATCATCTACCGAGTCAGACAGAGTATTAAATATTAATACAATGGTTGAATCCACTTTGAAACATTTGGTGCAAAAAAACAACAGCAAAGTCACAAAACAAAGTGCAGTGCTAAAAATATATTTATACTGAATATATGAAGCTTTACTCCAGTAACGCTTGTAGCAGTGCAAAGGTTTATACCCAAGAGTACTGAGTAAATCTTTGATACCAGCCTACACACATTTTGTCTTGGGGATGTTTTCTTTTAGAATAAACTGATGCTTAAAGGGAAATCAATGATGTCGCGCTGAACACCTCCATAACAGTGCAACACATAATCTGTGATACCTCAGCCTCGGAGGACACCGTCCGTGTGGTCACTCCCACTGTGTAGATTCCACCGTTGGCATCTTCATGGATCTTAATGTGAGATTTCTGCTTCATGTCTCGAGTTGAGTCAAAGAGGTCCAGAACTTCCTCGTTGTAAAGCTGCAGGAAGACGCAAGAAAATATTTCAAACTAGCAGGAACAAAAGATTATTCTGTGATTGCTGTGTCGTTTCTGTCTACTACCCTATATTATTATCAATGTTTGCTGTTCTCAGATCTCTTGAAGAGATTCTGAGATCAAGCGTCTCATTATGTAAAAATCAGAATGGAAAAGTTGCATAACTTACAAATTGCAAAAATGCCAGTGGGTGTTATGTCTTTCATACTGTGTACAGGCCAAACAATAAGTTACAGCAGCCCGTACAGTAAACAGCCCTGAGAGGTGAAAGCAATAAGTGTACGGTGAAAGACTCACTGCTCATTAAGGTCACTGCTTTTAGCACACTGTGATAACTGAAGGTGACTCAAATAACAGAATCAGCTATTTTAAATCAACTCAGCTCCTCTCATTTTGACTATGGCAGCAGAACTGAGAGCTTTTCATTAGCTACATATTAAAAAGTTTTTTCGAAAATATCTCTTGAACCACTAAATGACTGAGAAAAAAAGCAGTATACGTTTCACAATATTGGGTCTACATGATATATAGACATCTCATCCACTGCCAAACAGCTTGGAGCTTTCATTCTCTCTCCCTTTTTTTTTTAAACTTAAAGCAGCTACCAGTAGTTTTAAGGTAATCTGCACCATCTAGTAACTTTTGAAGCCTTAGATCTAAAACGACATCTTATTTGCCATGTGTGAAAATTCTTTTTCACCATTATACTGCCTCCCCAGCTCAAGATGAGCCCGATGGCCTAGCACAACTGTCAAGTCACATCATCCCTATTAACTCTCTCTGTCCAGAGACAGACCTTCTATCACCCCCAACCTGCCCCATAACACCTCTTAATCCCACCAACGACAGCTGCTGCAGTGGCAGTGTGGATATTTTCAAATGACTGAGCACCATGTCAAAGCCTGTTAAACCAGCGGTGTCAACAATATTAGCCTGACCCATGACACTGGAAAGCCTAAGAAATTTGTGTTTTCATTTACTGGGTTAAATTTTGACAACAACAAAAAAACAGGTTTTTAAAAAAAAAAAAAAAAAAAAAAAGAGAAGCTGGAAAGTGGGTGTGTACCTCGAGGAACTGTGCGTTGATTTTAAACTCTGGTACAGGACGTCCCTGCTCCTGGGCGGTCCGCCGGCGCTCTTCAATGCCCTTGAAGAGGTGGTGGACAGCACGGGGGATGATACCCAGCTCTTCGTCTGCTATGTTGACATCGAAGCCAGTCCCCATGGTGTATGTCTTCCCTGAACCAGTCTGGATGGAAAGGGAAGAATAAATATAATAACCGCACACTATATTCTAAACCCAAATAAAATCTATATACCTCAGAGGCATGGCATTCAGACTGGCCTTCCTGATGACCATGGAAAGCTTTCAAACATCAAAATTTGCAAAACCTTTAGTTCTGAGAAACATTTTTACTTGACTGATTTATTCCTTTTATTTTATTACAGTGTGTCCTGTTTTAAACTTGTAAAGCTGTCACCTGCGATCAGTTTCCTTTTCCTTCTGTACTGGTAGTAGTAGTAGTAGTAGTAACGTATTATGTTGTGTGATAAAGAGCTGTTACTACTTTGTTACTTCTGCTTTACCAAGTAGCAAAGTATCTCCAATAACTGTTTAACTGTTAACTTCACATATCTGTTTAGCAGTTTTTACTTTGAACTCACAGAGCACTTTGGCTGATTTCTTTAAACAGTAGGGAGCTTTTTTGTGCACATGTCATGTTTTACACTGGTGTTTCCTCTTTCTGGACATTTACCAGAATGCTGAAATTAACATTAAATATTCAAGTGTGAGCATCAATAATGGATGAGCCTAATGAAAAAAAAAAAACCCTGAAAAACCAAAACAAATAAGAAAAGAAATCTTGCTCTGTTCATATTTTTAAACCTCTGAGGACCAAATCATCATAAGTACTCAGTTCTTTATTTAAAGTAACCTGTTACTCTGTAAAATGACCTGAAATGCACTGCAGCATAATTATCAGTTAACAATAAAAACCTTTTTGGCTTTGCATTAGCATGGTGCCTCTGTAGATGCTTGCAAAGATTCAGTGTGTTAGCAGAGCTCAGTTTGCACAATGTCTGTTAACTAATTCTGAAAGCACTGGAAAAAATCCATTACGTTTTACACTACAAAATGAGCAGTGTATTTACATTGGAGCTATAAATGAAGCAGGTTCTAGTCCAGGTAAACTTTGCAACTCTGAAAAGTGCCATCTTGTGGCTGCATTTGCTCAGTGAGTTTTACAATCCTACTGACAAAAACATAAAACATTCTGCTGTATTTCACACAGTTTCTTAAAACTAAGCCAGGGCATTGAAGATTCAAAAGTGCTGTAAATATCACTGATTTATTCTCTTTCCTCAACATCAATGCCGTCTGTTTATTTCTGTAACCCAGTCTAGCTGAGTTCTTGCGATGCAGCCGAGTGGGTCGGTCTAAATCTAGATTAGTGCCTCTAAAGCCTAAGAGGCAAGCAGATCTGATCTGGGACAAACCAACCGCTGTGTGCGCTTAATGTGTGGATGTGCTTTGAGAAGTAGGCCAACACTGAGAGAAGCTGTTACTAGGGAGATCCAGATTAATATGGACACACATTAAAGATGTAGATCTGTCTAAAAGGTGTGTGCGCTTCACTTCTCTACTGAATCGTATGGATTCAGGAGCTCTGCTGCTAAAGAAACCCGAGTTGTAGGGGGGTATGAGGGGGGGCCAGAAACTACAGGTTATTTCCATGTAATGGAAGTGCTGAAAAAGAAAAACATTTTTAAAAGGCTGGAACTCATTTTTAGTATCAATAAACATGATATTGAAAATGAGTGAAAGTGAGAACTACTTACTTCAGGTAAAATTTAAAAAATACGTTTTTAAAACAGTGAAAATTTACAAAAACAATTTCACCAACCCCAGCGTGTTAAAATAAAAAGTCTAACAACAATCTAATATCTGAAAGGTTTTGAGGTAGACAACAAATATTTGGCACAAAGTTAAAAATGATCGTGCTTTATGTAACAGTTTAAAAAGACAAGGAAAAAAACCAACATCAAAACATCAAGCTTTGTCTACAAAAATTCAATTTATTGTGCATAAAACTTCCTTTATTAAAAAGTAACTAGCCAAATTGTGACTTTTCGGGTTAGATTTCTTGGTGCTTTGTGGATAGATTTAACGACAAGAATACATAGCCATCACCACTAATTTTTTTCAGTGTTTGATTTTACAGCTGACGATGCAACTGTTGCCGTCAGTGCTACCACTCAGCCCCCTAGCACATATACCCATGGTATCACTTTCAAAATCCTTCGTCACCATGTTCTCATTTTATTGCATTCACAAGATTTTCAGAAAACTTGATATTTGACCTTGTTGTCAAGGCCACCGGGATTTAATCTTGTCCAACACTTTTAGCAGATGCTCCTATGATATCAATTTCAAAATCCCATATTGGCAGATTCTCCAGTTATTGCACATTGCAAACTTGGGTGTCCCCGCCACCCGCCTGCCAGCGGGGTGACAACAATACCCCCATCAGCCTTTTATGGCTAAGGAATAAAACAAAGTTATCAACACCTTACAAAGCTTTATAATGGCAGTATCGCTGGCAGTGATTATGTAAATATCAGTGGCAAATACTCAATGCAATGGAAATATTCTGCTTTTCTTTTTCTTAGTTTGTCATTTGTGATGGATGTAAACAGTAAACATTGCCAAATCTTTAAATAAAAAGAAAGTATAAGATGTATAAGATGTATTTTTTTTAACTGCAAATCATAGAAAAATGTCTATTTTACTGCACTTTTTCCAGTTATGATGCAGATGCACAAATGAGCACAAATCAGTTTTTGAGCAGTGGAAACCGGCCTTTTTTTTTCCTGAGTATCAACTTGTAAGATTATAAGTCAGTTAAAGAGGGTCGGAGGAGCTCACATGATTTCAAATGCAGATTTTAACAGCCAAATAAATTAGTTAACAAGAGAGTATTGTGCATAAAAGACCAGGGATGATGGGATGATGCTTTAAAACACCAGCAGTGCTGCAGTGGTGACACCAAGGACAAAGACTTGCCTGTCCATATGCAAACACAGTGGCATTGTAGCCCTCAAAACAGCCTTCGATCAGCTTCTCTGTGCAGGTACCGTAGATGGTCTCCTGCTGCGAGTCCATATCAAACACAAAGTCATAGGTGAAGGCCTTGTCTTTCCCCAGGATCACCTGGGGCTCTCCAGGCATCACATACGTACAGATGTGACATCCCTCAATCTTCTCCCTGGCCAGCTGAGGACGAATCCTGCAGAAAATCCAGAAACAGTGATTAGGCTCTGCCAGGTTTCTTTGTTCCTGTGTACAATAGTGCTAAAAGTTCTATATGACTCTATGCTCCTTTCAGTTAATACAAACACTGTAATATGACCAATTAGAAAAACATTCATCACAAATCTCCAGAAGGAGAGATGTCTCCAGAAAACCATCTCTCCTTTATGCAGAACCAGCCTCAGGGCAGCCATCTGCCAAGACCACTTGAGGTTGAAGAGAGTAATTAGTTCTGCACTTCTGTATAGGTTAGCACGATCATGCTACACAATAAAGTAAACAGAAGATCAAAGTGTTGTACAGGGATATTATGGCACCTTCTCATTAACAACACACATCTGCATGGCATTAAAAAAAGGCATGCAAAAGCCGTGGTTCAAACTGTTCATCTTAACCAAAATTCATCTTAAATCTGTCTACAAGCTACACGTTGTTCTTTTTCAATAGGTAGATCACAGGGACATAGTGGATTAAACATAATCACATCAGCGATAGATGTGTGGATCTGCAGGGACAGGGCCAACACTCTGGATCCTACTGTGACCCAGTATTTTGATCTGTAAAATATGTCAGCTGGGTGAATCTGTGCTCTAGTGTGTCTGTGTGAGCGCATGACAGAACTGCTGTGGTTTTGGCCAACTGAAATCTGGCAGGGATTAACTAGAGTAATGTGAGTGTGGAGGAGTAAGACAAGGTAGAGACAGTAGCACTGTGTGTGCTCATTGTGCATTTAAAATGAGCATTTCTTTCTTTGTTGAAAGAACAGTACAGCACACACGCCACATATCCACAGAGGGCGTGAATTCAAGGACAAACACAAACGGCAGCACTTATTAAATGGTTGGTCAGTCAGTCAGTTTGGTATGTCGGCAGGCAGGTCGGTTGATTGATAACAGGGCGCTGTTAAAATGCTACGCAAAGAAGCTATACCGAATGACAGCAACATCAAGAAGAACGAACAGGAGAAGCTCAAGAAATGTCAAGGGCTGAGAGAAGAACTCAAGATGTGGAAGGTGAAGGCAACAGTGGTCCAAGCGGTATTCGGAGCCCTCGGTGCAGTGGAGGACCTGAGCTAGGCAAGTGGCAGTTCTAGGAATAGCAAAGATACTGCACAGGACCCTCAAGCTCCGAGGCCTCTGTGTAGAGGACCCGAGCTTGAAGGATAAAAACTGCCTCGCAGGGCGAGAGGGGAATTTCTCTTTTAAACCATCGTAGTGGGAAACTGTTACTTACAGCCCAACATAGAATAAGTACTGATCTTGACCATCTAATCTTAGAGAAACTTTCTTCCATTGGTTTTGAGACAATTCTAAGAAATAGGGCTATTTTACTGAAAAAATAACTTTAATTATGAATTAAAAACAACAACAACCAAGCTTTATTTGTCACATACACAATGATTACACACACATACAACATGCAGTGAAATGTTTTGTGTCTGAGCTGTGGACAGGCTGCAGACGTAGCCACGCCATTCCAGGGTTTGGTTTTTAACATGGGGGTCTAGCCAGGACCCTTACTGGATACTGGGCGGGAGTTGAACTGCGACTCCCACCCCAAAGGCATGTAGTTTTACCACTACACTATCCAGCTGCTGAAAATGACTAGCTCGAAATTAGATCAAAACAGGATTAGGTGAAAATAGGATTAAAGACAGAACCCTCCAAATGTGATCCCTAAATCTGATATGTTTGCCATTTTTCCATTTCAGACAACATTTTTTTTTAAATGGCTGATAATAAAAAATGTAAAAAGAAAAGAAGGTTTAAGGGAAATGTTCTTCAAGAGTAAATAAATAAATGAGAAATGAAACTTGAAATGTTAGGCAAACCTGTTTATGTTTCATATATATACACGTTTCACATTATATGAGTAAGGCTCTACCAGAGGTCTTCTTTTAACATGCTCATATTTTTCACTAAATAATTTCTAGGCTTATCAGTCAGGATCTGATGTTCTTATGTAAGGTTTCAGCTTCTAAAACATAAAAAAACCCGAGTAATTTCAGTCTATGTTCTGCGCATGTTCAATATGGACCAAAAGAGACACTTTTTCCAAGCGGTTCTTTAGACAAATTCTTTTCATGGTTTCAGCTCACGAACAAGCTTGGGAGAAAAGCACCTGACAGCAGGCTTGCCAGTCCTGAGTGGATAAGGGCCTTATTGTGCCTCTGAGTTCGGGGGAAAACAATACTGTGAAGGGACTACAGTGCAACCATTGTGTCCGCCTGTGTGACAGTGGATCCCAGCACTGACACCAACGCCACGGCTGCAGGATTACACAGCCGGATGGAGGCGAGGGAGGAGAGGTAATGTCCTGTAAGAAGGTCATGCCATGTTGGTGAATAACGAACAAAATGGTCACAGATGTGTACACAGGCAAAAGATACTTAGCTTTATGGGACGCTTTTTCATTTGACTGTTTTGATTAAAGCTTCTCCGGTTCTCAGATTTCTTACTGCATCAGTTTTCAGGCGACTGATTTTGTTTGTAGCCACAGAATTTTTTCTGTGTGATCCTAGTGCTACGTTATCATTGCATAGCACTGAAATATATGAAACAAGACTTTAAAAAAATCTGTGAGTACTCTGAATTTCAGTAAGCTGCATGAAAAATGCTCCTTCTACAACCCACAGACCAAACAGCGTTTTTGTGGAAGAGTCCACAACAGTCAAGCCTGAGTGTGGTGCCTCAGATCAGTGTCACATTCACTGTTTTGTGACATGTGCCATTGTGTGTCTGCTGAGAGTGCACTGACGTGCCGAGGTATTTTGGGAACACCAAAAAAGCCTCAGCAGACAGTTTTGGCTGCACTTTGTCTTCTCCTCTGGTCACCATTTGACGCAGTAGAGGAGGACCCATTGTACATCACAAACCCAAGCGGTTAAAACAGAACTGTCATGGATCCACATAGCAGGAGCAGCCAGAGCAGTGTGTGGCTTCAGGAGATTATGAGGTTTTGCTTTAACTGCACAGTTTGTCTCAACAGTACAGTAGAAAGTAACTGAAATGTAGCCTGAAAGTTGCAAATCCTATTTACTCTACAGATATGTAATTGTCCCAGTTAGCCTAAGTGTAAATATTTTTTTAAAAATCTGCCTCAGAAGAGCAACTGAGATACAGAAGTTGGTGTTGCTGCATGTCATCCAGGCTCAAAATACAAACCCTGTGTAAGCAAGAGTGCACCAGCCCATGCTACCTTTCAGAGTTAAAGCTTGTGCTCTATTGTATGCGTGTCACGTTGCCGTCTTAATGCACAATATCTAATCCTAGTCCTAGAAAATTGATTAAATTCCGTGTCAAATTTACCGTATTTAACCAATTACATGTTTCCAAGGCCACACGGGGTGGGTGGGGGGTATCTTTGTTGCAGATAATTTAACTCACTAATTGGGTGTGTAATCCTGTCTCTCTGAATACCCTGCAGCACTGTCTCACACCTGGGAATCTGATGACATTTCCTAAATTAACTTTGCATTTCATCTGCGCCATCAGGATTTCAGCATTATTATTATACACAGTTAAGTTCTTTTTTTTTTTTCTTCAGAATTATATTCAAATTTGTGTATTAGAACAACTAACTAGCCACCATCTTAGCAATAACAGGTAATTAAAACAAAAAAAGAGCTTTTTTGTTGTTTTACTGCTTATAGTCCCAGATATACAGTATATTACTGTGATTGTGTTATTTTTGTGTAGGTGAATTTGACATTAAGAACTTATTAACCTTAATGCTTCAATAGGAGTTAAGAGGGTAGCTCTAGATCGTTTCTCATTAAACGCACTTAATCAAGAGATCAGCAAGTGTGACCTCTTCTGTGAAAGCAGATGTTTTGGCAGTTTGCTTGTGTGGAGCACTCGGTTGCATGTTATCACAAGACACCAGCAATGATCTTAAATATGTTTCTGTTGCTGCCCATAAATCTGGGAATAGTTATTAAAGCCATTTCCACCAATCTGAAGTCTATTATTCTGCAGCAAGAAAGAGGATTTAAAAGCGGTAAATATTCAGGAGAGCTGTCAATCTTTACGGGACGTCCCAGGAAAATCATCATAAGCTCAGTGCTCACAGAATGACCAAAAACCCAAGAGCTCCAGATCAGATTCTTCAGACTTCAGTTAACATTTAAAATGTTAACGTTCGAGAGAGTACAATTTACGAAAGACTGAACAAGTATTGCTTTTTTGGAAATATTGCTTGGAGAAAAGTCAACTGCAGTTTGCAAAGTTGCACCTTAAACCCCAAGACTTTTGGAAATTTGTCCTTTGGATAAAAGAGACCAAAGTGGAGATGTTTGACCATAATGCACAGCGGGACATTTAGAGAAAACAAACACAGCACCTCATACCCACCAACATATCAAGCACAGTGGTAGAAGGGTGATGATTTGAACTTATTTTGTAGTCACATGTCCTCCAATCGTTGCGGTGACCACCAAGGTTTTTCAAAGGTCCAATCAAAAACCCAACTAAACTACTATACACCTTGAGAGCTGTGCATAAAAGAATGCCTTCAGCTCTCTATAAACTGAGATCTGAAGACATAAAGATGAGTGGCCCAAAAGGCCTCCACAGATAACAGACTGATATAGTCTTACAGCAATTTACATCATATTATTGCTGCTAAAGGTCCTGCAAGCTACTGAATCACAGTGTGTACTTAGTTTTTCACACCCTGCTTCTGCATTAATTTCTGAGGATATTTAATAGAAAAAAATGTTGGACTAATAAATATACACTAAGCACTGATTACACATTCATCCATTAAAAATATACAGGAGCGGGCACTGGTTTGTGGAAGCTGCCATGTCACTCACCTAGACCACTGTCTTGAATACAGTGGCCAGGATGGGGACTGTCATTTTACCTAAACCTGTTTTATGCATGTGGCTTGAGATCAGCCACAAACATAAAAGTATGCCTTATAAGTTATTCTAATTCAAGGATCACATACAAATCACACTCTCTTTGGCAAACA